GTGCTTGAATATGCATGGACGCTGCATGAAGCTCCAGTGAATAGGGAGGGAGAAGGAGCTTTGGTAACGGTCACAAATTCTCAAAGATGATCCCAAGTAATACGAAAGGCGTTTTTCACCCAAAACCACTTGACCGGACCCAGGCTAAACTCGGCCACGCCCGCTACCTATAAAACCGACCTCTGTTAGGCTTATAGCGCAAACGAGCGACCAGAATCGCCAAATGATAGTCATAGAGGGGGCGTACCACCAGGCGTAAGCCTTGATAAGAGGCGTTGGCTAGTGGTCCTTCCCCCTTCCAACTACGCTAGCTACTGTAATCTGAAGAAGTGTTGCCCCAAATGCACAAGTATTTTGGACTTTCGCGGCGGAATCTTTGGAAGCATAAGGCACGACTATTTGGTACTCCGTCTAAAATGACAGCATGTGCTACAGCTACTAGCGACTCCGTCTAAAATGACAGCATGTGCTACAGCTACTAGCGGGAATACCTCCGAGACACCTCCCTATTGTAAGACGGGAGACGTGCAAAAGAATCGTAAAATGCCGCTTCGTCGCGCGCGGCAGTGGGCGCGACGTTTTCTTTATTTGCACTACCCTTTCGACTTGGAGCATCGGATTTCATGTAGACAAGGACATGGTAGACACCTTGTCTATTTTTGGTCATACATTGTCTATTCTCGACCAATGGCCTCTAGAATCATCGTGACTAGCTAGCGTAACGTCGCATGCGAGGCCACTGGCGTCGCGAATTACGATTCTCTTGCCACATACCCGTGCACGACGTTGAACGAATATACGGCAGACAGGAAGCAGTTTTGGACGAGTTTCCTTTTGGCAACCGTTCCAGCAAGTACGGCGGTATGTACGTTGGTAGTCGCAATCAGTCAGGTCGATTTCCAGAGGGATGGACTGACCTCACCAACGGGCATGGTCGCTGTTGAAGTTCTTGGTTGGAAAAGGCGCACGCAGGACTTGCGCATAGGCACACTATTATTTCGTGCTAGGCGCATCTCATCCACACGCCTTGCCCATTTCTCATGCCTGTTGCTTCAATCACCCACCACCAAATGTCTTCCAACTAAAAAAAACTGCATAGGAAGCACGCATGACGTAAGACGCGATATGTTCGCCACTGACGTCATGCGATTTCGTGGCACTGCGGGTTTCTACTAGACCAGCGCCAATATCCGTATTTCAGCGCTGTCCCAGGCAAGGATACGAGGTAAAATGTATTAAACACTACAGCGTAGCTGTAGTATGAACGCCTCAAAATATGTACGGAACTGAAAATTTCCTTGTTCCTTAGGAGTAATTTTTAC